TAAGGTGAGTAAATTTTGAGATAAAGGAACTGGCTCCAGGGAACCATAGCAAAATGGAGTGGGGAAAGGACTCTCAGACACGGAGTTGTGAAGACATTTGGTTAAGTATTAGCTGGAAGTGCATGGATTCTGCAACGGAACAGCACAAGCACAGAAAACACAACTAAATATGCAGTTCAGTAGGCCCAGAATCATGACCGAAGTTCAAACATATCCCACTAGCCAGGGGTCATTTTGTAGAAAAAGAGGAGCAGGAGCTCATTAGCATAACTCATTAGCATAACCATTAGCATATGCCACACCCCCTGACATCACCGGAAGTGTGTCAGAAGGCAACACCCACCGCTCAGGCTCCACTGGACTGTTTTGGATTGCTAGCTATTGGGGGGGGGGACGTGCAGATCTGTCCTCGCAGAGGAGGGAGATCTTGTACCTGAATAAAACTTGGTCTTAAAGGTGCCACTGGACTGTTTTGGGCCGGGGAGCCGGGGGGGGGGGGCTCTGCAACATACCTGGTTGCTTCTTGCTCTGACTGAGGGCTGCTGGGAGCAGGGGGTGGGGCTTGTTGCATGTGCCCGCCCCCTGGGCTCTTTACTGCCGGAGCTCCGCTCCTGTGCGCTCCTGCAGGAAATGACCCCTGCCACTGGCCCTTATGGCGAAAAGGGACACACGTGGACAAGCGAGGGAGGCGCTTAGCCAAATCTTGGGAGCCAAAAGAAGAGGAGTGAACAGGAATTCCAGTGGGCAGAAAGCAGGGCTGTAGGTCATTGCTTCAGCTGTGGGCAGGTACACGTGCACAAAGCACAACAGTGATCCAAATGTGCCCATATCTGCTTTCGTGGATAAGCCCCAACAGGCAGAAAGGCAGAGGTATCTAAGGAAACAAAGAGGCCGCGTCTCTGCTCCTTACCTGCATGCACAATTCCTTCGTGTTCAGTCAATGCATGTAGAGGGGGGGGCAGGTAGAAACATGGTGGACCTGCCTTCTGCCACAGCACGGCGGCCAGCTTTTGAGCACAGTGCAGAGGAAGTGTACACCAAAGTTCCCTCTAAGCCATGGAGTCTTGTGAGCGAAAACTCTACTTTGTGAGCTCCTGGCATTAAAGTTGTGAGCAAGTGATTTGGCTAGTGCATAAATTAGTATGCTCTGGTGCCATACTTCCTGAGCTAAGACAAAAATGTGTGAGCCAGAGGCTAAGAAACTGTGAGCTGGCTCACTCTAACTCAGCATAGAGGGAACACTGGTGTACGCACATATGCACCCACCTGGTGATCAGGGACACTGCTTTTGACATATTTCTGATCCAGAGGTGCTGAGCATACATGTACACACTCTCCTCCACACAGAGGTGCGATGCTCATGAGTCAGCAGAGATGCGGTGACGGAGTGTGGGACCCGTGCGTTTGGACATGCTTCCCCTCTCCACACTAACTGAGCATGCTTTGGGGGGGAGAAAGCAACCTGTTCCCGCACTAGTGCTGCTTCTTAGCTGCGAGGGGATTGAACCAAATATGTATCCAGGACCTTACAGCAGTTTTGCATACAATGGGCAGGGCAGGGCAGGAGTTAACCCTGTTTAACAACAAACATCCTCTCCCCAGAAGCACGGGGGGGGGGGGGGGGGGGGCCCCGCAGCCAGCTGGACCACATTGGGCAAATATTTAACTTTTTAAGCAAGACGGCAAACCCGTGAACAATATCCTTATTCCTGCCATTAAACATTCCCCTTTGTTTGACCAGGGAACTCCTGGTGGTTAAACATTAGCTAAAATTTTCCCTCTGCCCCGGAGCTGCGTGGTGTGTGGAATACTAAATATTGACTCAAGGGTTTCCAGAGAATTTAAAATAAATAAATAAAACAAAGACAGGGAAGAGGGCAGAGGAAAGAGGCAAAATTAGCAAACCACCTTTTTTTCTTAGATTTCCCCCCCCTTTAGTCATAGAATCATCGAATGTTAGAATTTGAAGGGACCTTGCAGGTCATCTAGTCCAACCCCCTGCACTCTGCAGGAGCACAGCCGAAAGATAGCCCTACAACATACCCGGAAGATGGTCATCCAGCCTCCGCAAACTTGCTACACGCCAGCTTGGGTTCAAATCACAGTGCCCCCATTCTGTTTTATTAGCAATAACCTTGGCTGATTAACCAAAAGTCTATAACCCTGTGCTCACGACCCCTCTGCACACTGAACGAATGCATGGAGACAGGAAAGGCAAGATGGAGTGCTCCGGCTCTGAAATGATCACCAGCTTCTGATTGCAACATTTACACGTGGAGGTAATTGCCCGTGCACATGCACTCCTCCCTATCCAGACACCCTCCCTATGATTGACAGCATTCAGAAAGCAGTATCACCAACCACGGGGAAGCAGCCTATATACGGAACTGCTTCCATACGTGGGTGTCATGTTCACATAGTGGCGACCAGGTGAAAATAGGGGGAGGGGCCAGTGTGCCCACGTCTGCTCTCCCAACTCTTAGCATAACTCATTAGCACAACTCATTAGCATATGCCACACCCCCTGACATCACCGGAAGTGTGTCAGAAGGCAACACCCACCGCTCAGGCTCCACTGGACTCTTTTGGATTGCTAGCTATTGGGGGGGGGGAACGTGCAGATCTGTCCTCGCATGGCCGCCAGGACAGAAGTACCGACCCCGAAGACCGCCGGAAGAAGAAGGAAGCCGAGCCGGAGAACAGCAAGCCCCACCACCTGGGTGCCGGTAGGCAGCTCCGGCTCTGAACCATGTGGCCGTAGATAGGGAAAGTAGACTTAGACTTCTATGTAAACCGCCCAGAGACCCTTTGGGGTCAGGGCGGTATATAAGCCGAATGTATAAATAAATAAATAAATAAATAACTCCAGATGTTCAGTCAACTTGTATGCTTGGATGACCCATACTTTTCCTGGCTACTTAAATCTGCTGGGGGACGGGACGGGCGGACTTGGTCTGAGAGGTAGTTAAGGCTTCCTTGAGAAAAGGAAGGGTCACCCCAACCTTGAAACAGGCTGTGGCATGTCTTTTTCTACAGAAGCCTACCCTGGACTCAGTCACTATCAGCCTATTCTTGAGCGAGGTATGGAGCAGGAGGTGGCTGGACAACGTCAAGCTTCCCTGGATGAAGCAAGTTCTCTAGATCAGAGGTGTCGAACTCATTTGTTACGAGGGCCAGAACTGACATAAATGTTACTTTGTTGGGCCGGGCCATGGGTGCCATACAACATAATGCCAGGTACCGTGGATATAAACTGTATAAAGGACAGCAGCGGGTAAGCTCTGAGTTAGTGTGTCCTCACTGCAAGGCCCCATGTGCTGGGCGGGGGGTGCAAAGGAAAACCCACATGGACGGACTGGAGAGCTTGGGCAGATGCTCCCACGCTGCTTGACTGCTGCAGATGAGGTTGTTCTGCTGTGCTGCAGCCACAGTTGGAGTGTCTCCGCCCACTCCCCCCCCTGCCAGCAGCCCTCCTGTTCCCTCCCTTGCACTAGTTGCTTGTGGGCCGTGTAAGAGCCCTGGATGGGCCGGTTCTGGCCCCCAGGCCTTATGTTTGACACTCCTGCTCTAGATCCTTTCCAGTCTAGGTTTTGGCCTGGTTATGGTACTGAAACAGCCTTGGATAACCTGCACTGGAAGATGGGCAGAGGAGTGTGACTCTGTTGATTATCTTGGACCTCTGAGTGGCATTTCCAATATCAATGCTCATATTCCCCTTTTGGACCATCTTTCCAGGCTGGAATCGGGAGGCACCATTTCGAGGTGCAACGGTATACAAGCATCAGGTTTGGTATCTGGAATAGCATCCTGAGAACCTGAGCCAGCCGGCCGGTCTTTCTTTCAAAACCAAGTTTCCGGACCCTGTGTCTATAAAACCTAAGTCCCGGGGAGGACTGTATAAGACTTCAACAGTCAGGGTGGTGGCAATAATGCTTTAAATACTCTTATGTCCCTCCTTCCAAGAGACATCATGTATCTGCTTCCTTTTCTTCATTTGTATACCAGAATCTGGCTTTTCTTGAAGTAGAGCTTAATGGCTTTTTAAAAAAAAATTGTTGACCCAGCTTTGCCCCTTTAGGAAGCCAATCTGAATGTGCAAGAACAAGGTGGAACAGTCCTCCTGGAAGGAACCTTGGCTTTCACACCTGCCCTGAACACTAAGGATACGACAGCTTCGACATCTCGCAGAACAAAGTCTGCCCTACGTATGAGTTTTGCAACTGCTGCAGCTACCCAGTTTGCTGAGCAGGTGAAGCAAAAGGAAAGGGACAGAATAAAATAACTGAGCTTTCCAGCCAAGCTAAAAACAATGGCAGCCAGGGCTCCCTCCATGATGCCTGGATCCAGCTTACAGCCTCAGTCCTTCAGCTACCACTGTTTGAGGGAGGAAAAGGCAAGAACCAGGCAGCCTTCCCACCATGCTTGGACCAAGACCTCACTGAGAATCTCCTGCCGGAGCACTTTCTTATGCAATTATAATTAATATGTGACTGAACATCTTTAATTTATATGTTGTGCAAGGATCTGTTTTGGAAGTCCCAGGGCTCCTCCACATTCTCATTACCATTGCTTATGTATCTGTATTGCTTCAGGGTTTTTCTTCTTCTATACACATTTTGCTCCCTCTAGTGGCTGATTCAATATTACATCACAGTATGACCGGCATAAAAGCCTACAGTTTTTATGCTGGACATACAGCAATGTAATATCAAATCAGCCACAAGAGGGAGCAGAACACATGCAAAAAAGAAAAAAAACCCATGCAATAGGGGCACACGTGAGGAAAATGATAATGTGGAAGAGCCCCCAATTTGGCTGAAAAGCAGGGTGAAAATACAATCATGCAGTTTTCAGCAAAGCTTCATACTGCCAGACTCATGACCATCCTCGCTCTGGAGTGAGCTGGAAGCATCCAATGTTGCTCCAGGGCTGTCAAGCCACAGATAGAAAAAAAAAACAGCAACCAATGAGAGTTCAGCAGTGCCAACTCTAAAACATACCCTGCAGACCGACATCTGATTGGTTGTTAGCGTGCCCGTCTTGTCCGAGCAGATGACCGAAGTGCAGCCCAGGGTTTCCACTGAAGGAAGACTCCTCACAATCGCATTCTTCTTGGCCATCCGGCGGGTGCCCAGCGCCAGGCAAGTTGTGATGACAGCCGGAAGTCCCTCGGGAATGGCAGCCACGGCCAAGGCCACAGCAATTTTAAAGTAGTAGATGGCCCCACGGAACCAAGAGCCACCATGCACAGGGTCACTGAAGTGGCTGATGTTGATGACCCACACAGCTATGCAGACCAGGGAAATGACCTTAGAGAGCTGTTGGCTGAACTCATCCAGCTTCTGCTGCAAGGGGGTCTTTTCAGGCTCGGTGGCAACCATCTGGTTCCTGATCTTCCCAATTTCTGTGTAGACCCCCGTGGCAATGACAACACCAACAGCTTTGCCGGCAGCAATGTTGGTACCCTAGAGAAAGGGAAAGGGGACGTTAATCGACACAGTATTTACTCAGCCATTGCTGGTAATGGTCAACCGTTGCATTGGGTTGGAAGGAGAACGTGTCCAGGGCTGATCTTGCCCGGTCCCCCAAAATGTGGGACTCTAGCTTGATCTACACAGGGAACAGAATGAGTTGGGAACAAAAGTCATGATTAGTGAATCTACAATCCTCACTAATAGCACGCTCAAAAATTGAACTTTCTTTTCCACTGTCTTTCAGTCTAACCCCATCCTCAGGTATGTGGTGGGTCTGTGGCTCACTGGCTGAGTATCTGTTTGGCATGCAGAAAGTCCCAAGCAGAAAATGAACACTGTGGGAAGTAAGCTGGTCTAGTGCCTGTCATCCCAGTATGCCACTTTTTAATATGGGGGAACCACTGGAAAACGGCGAACCCGTCTCCAGCACAAAGTCCACCACACCTGTACAGACCCCCCCAGTTTGAGAAGTATTCCCCCCTCCTCCCCTGGAAAATTCCAATCGTCTTCAACACTCATCTTGGTTGCAAGATCCCACAAACTCGCACATGGTGGAAGGCAGAACAGTTTGATCTACATCACTGTTTCTGAGTTGGCCTCCAGAAGCAGGAATTTTAGAGAGAACGGCAGGTGTGAGAATACTTACAGAAAACAGCATGTTCTTTTTATCCTGGTTGACAGCTCTCGGATCTGGAACAGGGTCTGTGTGCTTGATGATTGACACAGATTCACCTACCCAAAAAGGTGGGGGGGGGAATACAAATTATTTCCTGCTCCGGTTGTACAAAAGAGCTTGTTTTCATCTACAGCACAACAGTACGCCTACCGGGGGGCTACTCACCAGTGTTCCCTCTAAGCTGTGTGCGTGAGCAGCCGCCCATTAACCCAAGAAGCCCCGCTCAGCAGCAACCTGGAGCCGCGCAGCATCTTGCACTGCCCATTGCCCATTGTAAGATTACCAAAAATCAGCAAATACCGTGCTACAGAGAATTACAAAGTATCTCAAGTAATGCAGCCATGAAATTAAAAGACGCCTGCTCCTTGGGAGGAAAGCGATGGCAAACCTAAACAGCATGATAAAAAGTAGAGACATCACCCTGCCAACAAAAGCCCGCATGGTCAAAGCAATGGTATTCCCAGTAGTCATGTATGGCTGCGAGAGTTGGACTATAAGGAAGGCCGAGCTCCAAAGAATAGATTCTTTTGAACTATGGTGTTGGAGAAGACTCTTGAGAGTCCCTTGGACTGCAAGGAGATCAAATCAGTCAATCCTAAAAGAAATCAACCCTGACTGTTCCCTGGAAGGCCAGATAATGAAACTGAAGCTCAAAGACTTTGGCCACCCAATGAGAAGGGAGCACTCACTGGAGAAGACCCTGATCCTGGGAAAGATTGAAGGTCAAAGAAGACGGGGACGGCAAAGGATGAGATGGTTGGACAGTGTCATCGAGGCAACGAACATATAAATATTTTAAAGGAGGGGGGAAAAATCTGCTGATCAAGCTGGTGCTAAAAGCTTAAGACAGAAGCAAGGGGGGGGGGGGGCTTACATTTTTAAAGTTTGGCACGACTCCTGGCAGAAGCCTCTTGCTCCTGAAGGGAACGGATCAATAAAGATGGTTTTTTTAAAAGGATTGTTGTTAGGATGCGTAGGTGGCTCCAGAGGGCGGCTGCCGTGTTGGTCTGCAGTAAAATAGAACAAAGTCTGAGTCCAGTGGCACCTTCAGGATCAGCAAAGTTTAATTCTGGGTATAAGCTTTGTGAGGAAGTGTGCATGCACACAGAAGCTTAGAACTCAGAATTAAACTTTTGTTGGTCTTGAAGGTGCCGGTGGACTCAGATTTTGTTCTGTTGCTTCAGGCCAACACGGCTACCCACCTGCAATGAAACAGCACCTTAGAGACCAACATGAGTTTCGGGGTGTCACGTGGATGAAGGGAGCTTTGACTCTCAAACGTTTATACCCTGAAAACCTTGTTGGTCTCGAAGGTGCTCCTGGACTCAGCTCTAATTACGACAGGTAGGGTTGCCAACTGATCCCCTACCCAATCTGTCTGACTTGCTCTTGTGCCTTTGACAGAAATCAGCTGGTGATGCTCTTTTTTTTTTTTTTTTACGTTTTATTTATTGGTTTTTGTACATCATTAGTTCTCCAATATACATACACCTTAGAGTCATTTATCCATTTTCTAGCCACTTATACATTCCCACCCATCGCTTTACAAAGAGTTCTTCATTCTTCCTCTGTAACATTAAATTCAGCTTATCTATTTCTGCTACTTCCAACAGTTTCTCTATCACTTCTTCTTGTTTCGGGGTGTTATCTTGCTTCCAATATCTTGCCCATAATATCCTAGCTGCCGTTATTGTATATAATCTCTCCTTATATATAATTGAATAGTGGGTGCCAAGGTTCTAATTCTAAAATGCACTCCCTTAGTGTATGGCTGATGGCACTGCTCCTCAGCATATATCGCCACCAATCAGAAGGCAAAGCCCGGGTCCCGCCCACACCACAACTGCTGCGACAACCTGGTCTTTTGCATATGGAAGCTGATTGGACTTCAGTCCATTCCACACCTCAAACTCCCCCCCCCCGCAAGGCAGTTGGGATTTTCAGTTGCATAACATACCTCATAGGGGAGAGGAGAATGGGTAACAATGGTTACCACTCTCCAGGTGAGGGCTACAGATAACTCAAACATACAAATGCTCTTCAGGTAGCAGAGATCAGTCCCTCTGGAGAAAACAGTGGACTCTGTCATTAAACCCTGCTGAGGTCGCCACAGGAAACTGACACTGTTTGCCCAAAGCCAGAGCACTCTCCCAGAGCCTCTTTCTAGATCCCGTTGTATTTATTTCTGCAACGGGCATTATTTCTAGTAAATAAATAAATAAAAAGATATTGCACAACCCGTTGATTCATACCAGTCCTCCTTAATTGTACAAAAGTTTTAAGAGGGAGGACTCCTTTAAGTCTATTTTGTGATATATAAAGAGACGATACTTAGATGTTTGGCTATATGATTGATTCTTTCTATGTGTTAATGTTTATACGCTAATTAATATAATGGTGAATAATTTGTAAGAAATATAGAAAAAATAGTATATAAAACAAAAAAATATACAAAATTACTTGAGATACTTTGTAATTCTCTGTAGGACGGTATTTGCTGATTTTTGGTATTTCCTACTTACTATGGGTAAGATGACTGCAGTTCTATTCTGCTCAGGATGTGAACTGCTCCACTCAGTGGGGGGGGGGGAATAGAAGGAGCATTGTCATTCACTCCCATGGGATGAACAGGTGCCAAGACATCACCCCATCCGAGCCCAGTGAACAGGTGGAAATTACAAGGGAGCAGGGCTTTTTTTGTAGAAAAAGCCCAGCAGAAACTCATTAGCATAATTGGCCACACCCAACAGCAGAAACGTATTATCTTATTAGGCCACACCCCTGACAGCACAGGTCATTAGCATATGAGGCCACACCCGTGTTACCAGAAGTGTGCTCATCCAGCCACACCCACCTTTTGCTTCTTATTCTGTTTACCTTGTTTGTTGTCAAAACCCAGGGCTTTTTTTGTAGCAGGAACTCCTTTGCATGTTAGGCCACACACCCCTAATGTAGCCAATCCTAATGGGTTTCTGCTGTTGTGTGTGGCCTATTATGCTAATGAGTTCCTGCTGGGCGTGGCCAACTCAGGAGCCAGCCAGAACTCTGTTCCTGTGCGTTCCTGCCCCAAAATAGCCCTGCAAGGGAGTCGTTACTGGTTAAATATCAGGAGAAACTTCCTAACTGTTAGAGTGGTTGAGCAGTGGAACAGACTGCCTCGGGAGGTGGTAGATGCTCCTTCACTGGACGTTTTCAAGCGGAGGCTGGATGACCATCTTTCGGGTATGTTGTAGGTATGTAGGGCTATCTTTCAGCTATGCTCCTGCAGAGTGCAGGGGGTTGGACTAGATGACCTGCAAGTTCCCTTCCAACTCTAACATTCTATGATTCTATGATTCTAAGTCAGTTATGCCTTCTGGCAGAACCCGGATCCCCCAGATCCTAGCCTGATATTTTAACTTCTACACAGCACTGGCCCTCAGAAGAGCCATTTAAGGGAGGCAGCCCGGCACTGCTCCTACTGAGCCTCCTTCCGATGGAGCACAAGGGATGGGATGTGGCTCACTGGCAGAGCATCTGCTTGGCATGCGGAAGGTCCTCCCAGGTCCAATCCCTGGCATCTCCAGTTCAAAGGCCCAGGCAGTGGGTGATGTGAAAGTCTTCCACCTGAGACCCCGGAGAGCTGCTGCCAGTCTGAGTAGACAATTCTGATTTTGATGGACCAACAGTCTGATTCAGTATAAGGCAGCTTCATGTGTTCAGCACTAATAGTACACACCAGAGTCTGTCAACCCCACAAATATGTATATGGGATTTATAAAATTATACATGGGACAGAGAGAGTGGATAGAGAGAATTCTTGTCCCTCTCACAAAATACTAGAACTTGAAGGCATCCAATGAAGTTGATGGGCAGTAGAGTCAGAATGGACAGAAGTCAATATTTCTTTACACAATGGGTGCGTTCAGACGGGGCATTTACAACGGTATAGGTGCCGGTTGGAATCGGTGTACTTACCGGCGTTCACACGTAGAACGTCTGCCTTCCGTCCCTAACCATTGCAAAGAGCTTTAAACCGTTGTATTCTGCCACTAGGTCCCCAAGTGGTGGTATCCTGAGTGCAACGGTTGTAATCGCTTTACCCACCCCTGTCTGATCACTCTCCACCGTTGTAGAGCCACTTCCGTTAGGAAGCCTGAGGCTTCCGATTTTCGCCCGCCATTTTTTTTGTTAGGTCAGCGATATGCGCTTGGGCGAAGCTTCACCCCGGAGTTTGTTTAAAAAAAGAAAAGAAAAGGTCCTTAGTTTAAGGTTTTAGAGGAGTCCGGGACCTCAGGGAGGCCAGTTTGTTCTTTAAACTTTAAAGGTAAGTCCTCTCTTCAGGGCATGCTTTTCTGGATGGGGTGTTTCGCGCATGCGTGAAGATCTCCATTCTGTGGATGGCTGCCTATGCGCATGCGCAAATTAAATTAAAAAACAACAACGCCGACACCCGCTGTGTGTGAACGGGCATACAGCGATGGGCTCCGCAGACAGGAGGTAAGTGTGATCGCGTTTCAGCCGGCATAAACTGCACCGGTTGGAACCGGTGCAAGTTTATGCTGGCTGAAACACCCCGTCTGAACGCACCCAATGAGTGATGGAAATGTGGAACTCGCTGCTGGAGGATGTAGTGATGGCCATGGGCACAGATGGTTTTAGAAGGGGATTTGGCAGGTTCATAGAGGAGAGGTCCATCAGTGGCTCCTAGCCATTGTGTCTAAAGGGAATCTCCACATTCAGAGGCAGTAAACTTCTGAATACCAGTGCCAGGATGCAACATCAGGAGAAAGCCTGGGCCCCTGGGCCCTGCTGCTGGACTGTCAGAGGAACTGGTTGGCCACTGTGTGATATAGGATGCTGGACTAGAAGGACCACTGGTCTGATCCAGCAGGGACCTTTTCTGATATCTATATCTCTAGATATAAAATGTTTTAAGGTAGTACAAGGCTCTCCCACTTTAATTGCAACATTAATCAGAACTGACCCCAGCAATGTTCATCTTGCGCCTTCCGGACCGTGCTTACCCGTAAGAATGGACTGGTCGACCCGTAACGTCGTAGATTTGATCTCGATGATCCTGATGTCGGCAGGCACTTTGTCGCCAACTGTAACAGAGGGAAAGGAACTGGTGTCAGAAGTGTCTAAATCTGAAATCCACCAAGGGGAGAAAGCAGGCGGGGAGTCCCACACTGCTGAAGAACACGCTAGCAGGAAAAGGTTTTGCAGTCCCGTAGTTGAAATGATGATGCCCACCTGAAGTGGGGCTTACGGGGAGGTCACTGTGTACAATGAAAAGGGACTCAGATCTGAAGAACAGTCTCGCTTGATCCTACCAAATGGCTCAAGTGAACCGACCAAACTTCAGTTACCAGAACAGCAAGAGCACTACCCAATCAGAAGAGTCTCAACAGGAACTGACAATCACTTGTATATTACCCAGCACTCCCAAAGTCCTCTGAAACAAACACTTCTCACATGCCTTCTAAATGCCAGCGGTGAAGAAGCATGGTGGACTTCCCAAAGAAGAGAGCTGCATCATCTCAGAGCGACCACGAAGAAGAAGAAGAAGGAGGAGGAGGAGGAGGAGGAGAAAGAAGAAGAGGAGGAAGAGGAGGAGGAGATTGGATTTATACCCTGCCCTTCACTACCCAGAGGAGTCTCAGAGCGCGTTACAAACTCCTTTCCCTTCCCTTCCCCACAACAGACATCCTGTGAGGTGGGTGGGGCTGAGAGAGCTCTCACAGAAACTGCTCTTTTTCAAGAACAGCTCTTATCAGAGCTACAGCTTGCCCAAGGCCATCCAGCAGGTGCAAGTGGAGGAGTGGGGAATCAAACCCGGTTCTCCCAGATTAGAGTCCGTGCACTTAACCACTACACCAAACTGGCTCTCGTTATCATCTCCTGTGCACCTCAGACAGCAAGGGGCACATGGCACCAAATCTGTTCAGGTAGGTTTACATGGGAGGACATGATCCTCGAGGTGCCTTAGTCCCAGACAGTTCTGTGCTCTCAGTATCATGGCTTATTTGCGAGCTTTCCTGAGGTATTAGACTGCTCATTTGTTGAGACTCAGCCTCAGAATCCTCTAAGTTAATGTGGGTGTACAGCATTGGCCACTCCAACTGGCAAGTGATATGGTGCCTATGGACTGGCCGAGCCTGCTACTCATCCCTTCACTCACAGTGTACACCTATTTCTTTTGAACAGATGTACCAACCCCGGGTGGGGTCTGGGAGGCAGGGCCAATGACACTTCCTGGTGGGGGATGTTGGTCCTCTCTAGGAATGACTGGAAGCTCTGTGGTTTTAACTCCTCAAAGAGTTTCTGGCGATTTCTAGAAAGGTATGACATCACTTCCAGGTTCCCCTCAGAAGTGATGTCACACCATCAACAATGGCTGGTTTGCGTTTTAAAAGTTGTGCTAATCCCACCCATTTTGGGTGGGTATTTAGAGTGAGCTGACAAAACAGCCCCCATTCTGTGCCCTGTTCCTTCAACATTTTATCTTGTTTCGATACACTGAATATGGAAGATGGCAGCTTTGTTTGGTGTCGGTCTTTATCTGCCACTGTTTTTTATCTTCTTGTTTAAATCTCCTCATTTGTTTTCTGGCTTTAATGGGTCGGGGGAGGAGGGATGTTCTTTGATGTGGGATATAAATAGTTGTTTTAGGAGTTTGTCCGCCGCCTCGAAAATATTCCCAAAAGGCTCAATATAAAAGTTAAAAAAGATGAAGTTTGGTCTTCCTCACTGGCTAGTCAACGAAGCGGAACCTTCTGTCAGACTGACTTCTGGCTTCACCTTTTCCAGCTCAAGCCACAGACTGGATCATCAGTTGACTGTAAACAGCTGAGCTGCCTTATTATATAAAAATCGTTAAAAAATAGATCAATGCAGCACTTCTGCAATCCAGCAGCTATGCTGCTATGAGCCACCCCACGCTCACAGATCAAGATTCCCTCTGTCTTCCCACATCTTCCAGGCTCAACCCAATCATCCTAGGAAAACAGATTTCTCTCAGCAAACCACACTGCTGCAAAACTGCTGTAAATGGTTATTAAGTGCCATGTTGGAAAGTGCAGCCAGATAACAGCATCGAAGGCAAATGACCCTTGGACACAATGACAAACTACTGTCAATCTAGGCCTCTGATTTAACCACCAGAGGTGGGGAATTTTCTGCCTCCCGCCCCTGTTTTCCGCGCCTCAAAGAACTGAGTGGTAGGAGAAAAAATGGCATCCACATAGTGATTGTTCTAGGAATCTTCCCAGTCTCTATGGTAAAGATCACAGATACTAGGTAAGGCAGTCTAGAGTCGCCCAGAAGTAGGGCAGCACCGTGTGGGAGACTGGGAGGGCAGAAACATGGAGGCACCATTGTGTAAATAGCACTGCATCATTCCTCGGGCAAACTCAGAAGTGGTATCATGTCACTCTAGGATTCTTTGGAAACCCTGTCATTTTACCACAGAGTTTCTGCTAGAACTTCCACTAGATCCTAGAGCAACATGACATAATTTCCAGGTTCGCTCTGGAGATGATGTCATGCTGTCAACCCAATGGTGATTTTTTTTATTTTTCCCCTTGTCGGGCTATTCAGCAGTGATAGTCCCTTGCTATAGTGGGAAACCTAGCAACCCTACTCTACCTTGAAGAAACGTCACATCCTCCCCAATCTCCACCCTCCTCAGGCATCGCCCCCCAAATCTTCCAGCTGAGGCAATCTTGGGAATCCTAGATCCATCACATCTCTTGCTTGGTTTTTTTTTTTCATTTTTCTTTTGCAGATTTAGATGCCAAGTGACACCCATTCTGTGGCTCTCTCACTACCAGGTATGTTCCCTTCAACTTTGATAGAAAGATAATTCAAACCAGCAGGGCTTTCAGAAATTGGCTTTCTGAGGCAAGCTCAAAAAACACCTTCACTCATATGAGTCCTAGCCAGGGGTCATTTCCTGCAGGAGCGCACAGGAGGGGAGCTCCAGCAGTAAAGAGCCCAGGGGGCAGGCACATGCAACAAGCCCCACCCCCTGCTCCCAGCAGCCCTCAGTCAGAGCAAGAAGCAGCCAGGTAAGTTGCAGAGCCCGCCCCCCGGTCCAAAACAGTCCACTGGCACCTTTAAGACCAGGTTTTGTTCAGGTACAAGCTCTCCCTCCTCTGCGAGGGCAGATCTGCACGCACTCTCCCCCAATAGCTAGCAATCCAAAACAGTCAAGTGGAGCCTGAGTGGTGGGTGTTGCCTTCTGACACACTTCCGGTGGTGTCAGGGTGTGTGGCATATGCAAATAAGTTATGCTAATGAGTTATGCTAATGAGCCCCTGCACCTCTTTTTCTACTAAATGACCCCTGGTCCTAGCTGGTATTAAGATCAGCCAACAAAGTTCTCCTCTAGGCATCATCATCAAGTTTAGACACCAGGCCAATTTCAGCTGGAAGCGGGGCCTTATCTGAGGTAGCCCCTATCCTTTGGGACTCCTTCTCTTTGGAAGCTCAGCAGGCACTGGTCTTTCCCCCTTTTTTACATTAAAAAGGTAGTGAAAACTTAAACCTTTTCCCCCCTGTACCATCCAAGTTTTAAACAAATTATTCATCCAATGCTCTGATTCAATTGTCTCGCTGTTGCGGCTATTTGGTTAGACTAATGTTGATCCTTGGATTTAGCCCTGAATTGTTTCTTGTAAGCTTCTTTGGGAGCCGATATGGATGGAAGGTAGTGTATAAATACTGCAGCAAGTAGATAAATACATCCTTACACCTTTCAGCGCTATTTTAGATCCGTCTCGATCGTTAGCCTAGCTTATCCAATTATTTTTGGCACGCTATCTTCTCTATTGTACTTGTTTCACTGGCAGCAGCCGGCAGCCGTTTGTGATGCTGAGGTTCACCTTTAAGTTTTAAAATCAGAGTTTTTAATGGCATCCGGCCTCGAAGGCCGTATTTGGCCAATCGAGGGTATAGGCATTTAAAACAATAAAAACGAGAGAATCCGATCATGACAGAAGACTGCAGACACACAAAGGTATTGTGGATGCACTGATGGCACGGCCATGTTATTATTATGAAAGCAGCATCAATGGGGATGCCATTTTCCAGGGTATTAGACATTAGGTACCCGCCCCTAGGAGTTTACAATCTAAAAATGTAGCAGAAAAGAAAGAGGAAAACTAGAGTGGAAGCCAGCAAACCTTTGACATCCTACCTGCCACTTCCACAATGTCACCCGGGACGATGTCTCGAGCTCGGATCCTTTGAACTCCGTTTCTGTCTCCCCTGATCACTTTCCCCATCTCCGGTTCGTACTCTTTTAAG